AACCCTACACCCCTAAACCCCTACACCGTTTCACCCTGAACCCCACTGGTAACCTCACCTACCAAGTTTTAGAGCTTTTAGAGAGGTTAGCGAGGCGGAAGAGTCTGACGCCGATGCTTTGCTGGAAACTTCTGCGGGGGTCCCTTTTAGGGTTTAGGGTTTTGTAACGGTTGAGGGTTTACGGGCTGAGTAGGTAACCTTTAACCTTTTGGGGCTTGTATAGCCCTACCATAGTTCGAAAGGTTACCCTTTTTTGGCGCTGACGTACTCAGGGGTAGGGCTTAGCATTTTGGCTTACGTGTTTGGGTTTCAGGGTTCAGGGTTTTGGGCTTATAGGGTCCCTTTTCAACTCAGGTGTCCTTTATAAGGGTTTGCTGCATGTAGGATGTAACGACGGCGTGGTCGGGTGGAGCCCCAAATGCATCTTTGGCGTAGACTTCTTGTGGGAGACGTCGGGGCCCGTCTCTAGGAGTAACTCACAAGACCCAGAGTCTCCAGCGTAGTTCCTTTTTTGGGGTTATCCGATGGTGTCCTACATATAAAATAGGTTAAACCAAAAAGGAACTACCATAGAGACTAGAGGTAATGTCATAAAAGACACTTTTGATGGCTTCTCTCACGCCCAAAGCCCCACTCCACCTTTCAGGCTCCCAGATTACTTGATGCATGCCTCTAATATACTATTGTGGGGGGGGGGGGGCTCCTTGTTATACTTCTTTGTATAACATACCCCAAAACTTATTAAGGCCCCTACATTACCCCCCCCCCCCAGTTCTTCTGTCAGTTGGGATGGTTGGGTCTGTCGCTGAGGAGTGCCGGCGCCTCATTCTGCGGGTTCCTCAAACAGACCCTAAACGCTCAACCAAACCGGCACTCCCCCTAAAGAGTAGCTCTAAAGTTCTCTAAAGTCTACCTGTAGCCGGAAAGACCTACCTTTTAGGGTTCCTTAGTAGGGTTTGATGTATAGTTCCGCAAAAAAGGTAGGCCTTTTCGGTTGCAGGTAGCCTGTGATAAGGATCCACTAACTAACACTCAAAAAACAAACTAAGCCTTTCAAGGATCAAACTGTTCCAAGGATCACGGTGAAGATAGTACTTACACCTATTCGGCGGCCTCTCACATCTCTCGCGGGACTGAAAATGACGACAACTTCGAGGAGGCGACGGTAGTTCTTTTGGGGCTTTTGCACGGGCTTTGGGTTTCGAGGTCTGGGGTTTCAGGGCTTAGTTCAGGGTTTAAGGGTGTAGGCTTTAGGGTTTTCGGGTTTTGTAAAGGTTGCCATAGGGATTTTGCAAGTCCTGCAACGTTTCCGATGATGTCTCGTCGCAGACAAAAGGCAAATCGGACCCAAGGAGTTTTATGAGCTCTACTTGGAGGATCATGGGACTTAGTAAGTAAGGTTATAAGTCTCCTAATTGGGGTTATAAGTATAGTTACCTTAATTATAACCTTACTTCCTAGTCCCATGATCCTTTAAGTACTGTAGAGGAATTTTAAAAACGCTTCGCGTCGCCCTCCTCGGCCCGGCTGCACACGTATGCGCTGAATCGGCCGGGGCCGAAGCGAAGGCAGACTTCAAAGACCGTGGGCTTGCGGCGCATCGACGGCTGCCGCTCTCAGCCAGTGCAGTTGGGACGGGCAGGAAAAAAAGTAAGGTGGAAAGCAAGCAACAAGAATCAAAAGAAAAAAGCAAGAATGGCGGAAAAGCGGAAGGAAGAATCGCGGGAAAGCGGGGGGAACGGGGGAGAGGGGCCGGGAACAGGGAGGGGCCGGGCGGGGGGTGGTCACGGGTGGGACTGCCCCACAGAAAGCCCGAGTCCATAATGTTTTGGGTGGGGGCCACTGGGGAGGGGATTAAGAGGTGGGGAATAGAGGGAATTCGTATAGGAACCTTTGACCGCTTCGGCGGGGCCGAGGCGAATTAGCAATATTATCCCTGAGAGTTCCTTGTTTGCAGTCTAATAATCCGGTAATTCTACCCCAAAAGCCATTGTCATTGTAGAGGCCTCTATACCAGAGCCTTCCCAGAACTCTCGCCCAAGCCGGCTATGAAGAGCGCTCATAGTTTTCAGGAGGTCATGTCCCATGAGAAAGCGAATTTCTTTCCTGTGATAGCGTCCTCATCCCTGCTGCTCTAGCTTTTCGTTGACTTGGGTTTGGGTCTTAAAGTTTTGTCGTGTTCAGGACTGTTTTGAGGTTCGCGAGGCCCTTGGAGTCCTCAAGCAGGGAAAAACCTCCCTGAAGCCCAAACCCCAAAACCTCGAAGATAAAACTCTCTAATATAAAGCCTAGACTTCCAAACACCAATCCCCAGAAATGAGCCTTAGTCTTAGCCCGAATCTCTCCAAGCCCAAAACCCCAAACCCTAAATCCTAAACTCTCTGAAGCCTTAGCCTCTAAACCCCAAACCCTAAATCCTAAACTCTCTGAAGCCTTAGCCTCTAAACCCTAAATCCTAGACCCTAAACCCCAAAAGCCAGAAATTAGCAGGGCGGCCCTGGGCTTCATCAAGCGCTGCAGAATCAGAGAGAGGTCCTCATGGGCCTCTTCAAGCGGTCCCTCAGCGGTTCTGTTGCCGTTCAGGATTTAGGGCCTATAAGGGGGTTTAGGCATTAGGAGTTGGGGGTTGGGGCTTCTTGGGTTAAAGGATATAGGATTTAGGGCTTTTTGGGGGGTTTCGGATTTAAGGGTACGGGTTTTTGCTCTTCAGGGCTTTGGGGGTGTAGATGCGGTTGTGGATGATTCGACGTTGAGGGTTAAGCGCTTGGGGCTTCTAAAGTTTGGCTCCGGAGCTGCTTCTGCAGGGCTTAGGGTTTAGGGTTTAGGGTTTAGGGTTTAGAGATATTAAGTCCATTAGGGATGGGGGGTTCAGAAACTTAGGGTTTCGGTGGGAGGGTTGTGGCGTTGCATCGATGGGTTTTGCAAGCTTCGGGTTTAATTCAGGCCTTGGGTGTTGGGTTTCTTGATATTTTGGAGTTCCGTAAACCCTAAACCCTAAACCCTAAAAACCCTAAAAACCCTAAAAACCCTAAAGCCTAAACCCATAACCGGGATTCATGGCACTCATGGAGCCTGAGGCCTTTACTGAGTGTGCGAGGCTGAGAGCTCTGAAGATGTCTAGGGCATAGGGGGGTGCTATGAGCCTAAGAACCCTAAAGCCTAAACTCTAAGCCCTAAACCCTAAACCTTAAACCCTAGGCCCTAAATCCTAAACCTTAAACTCCTAAACCTTAAACCCTAGGTGCTAAATTAAATGCCCTAAACCCTAAACCTTAAACCCTACGCGCTAAATCCTAAGCCCTAAGCCCTAAACCGTACCGCCGCTCCCGAGCCCTACCTTCGCTCCTTAGACCCGGAGTTCTGAACACCGACACCTTACCTTCGGATCGATACTGATCCGTTTAGGATTTAGGGCCTTAAGGGGTTTAGGATTTAGGGGGCCATTAAGGGGTTTAGGATTCAGGGCCTTTAAGGGGTTTAGGATTTGGGGTGTTTAGGGTTAAGGGGTTTAGGAATTGGGGGGGTTTGGGGCTTCTTAGATTCTTGGGTTCAAGCATATAGGATTTAGGGCCTTCAAGGGGTTTAGGACTTGGGGGGTTGGGGCTTCTTGGATTCTTGGGTTGAAGGATATAGGATTTGGGGCTTTTGGTTTAGGGCTTAGGACCTTGCGCAGCCTGCAGTCCAAGCCCTGAGCCTTTCTTGAGCGAGCCTTCAACTCCGAGCTATCAAGGAACCCTAAATCTCATAAGCCCTACAAGAATCCATATAGACCCCCTTACTTCCTTACTTCATGGAACCTTAAACCCCATTTTTAGGCCTTAATGGAACCCTACACCTACACCCCATTTTTAGGACTTAATGGAACCCTAAACCTCAATTTTAGGACTTCATGGAACCCTAAACCCCATTCCTAGGCTCGATACCGATGGCTCTGGGGTCATCGATACCGAAGAGCTCCAACGAGCACTGAGCGACTTGGCCGGCTTTTTCACACCCTGAGGCCCTCGGGTTTCTTAGGGTTCAGGGTTTTAGGGTGTAGGGTTTAGGGGTTTTAGGTTTTGGGGTTTAGGGATTTAAGCGTTTAGGGTTTTAGGGCTTTAGGGTTTAGGGTTTAGGGGTTCAGGGCTTTAGGGTTTTAGGGGTTTTAGGGGTTTAGGGTTTAGAGTTTAGGGGTTTTGGGGTTTAGTTTAGGGTTTTAGGGTTTAGGGTTTAGTAGGAGTATATTGTTTCGAATGTCGGTTTTTGTTTTAGGATTTGCACAGACTATGCCTTATGATGCCCTCCATCGTCATTTGGGTGTATGAGGGTATTTCGGCTCTTCGCGATGCTTCGAAATTAGGCAAAAGGGTTTGCAAGGCCTTCAGCACTTCTGGTGTTCCCTGCAAGCTCATCCTGGACGGGGTGGAAGTGCACGCAAGGGATTGGGGCTGAAATTGCAGGGGGTTTAGACTTTAGCGCCAGCTCCAAACCCTAAACCCCTAAACCCCTAAACCCTCTAAACCCTAAACCCTAAACAATCTAAACCCTCTCTTTGTGCAGCCAAGGATCCGTGGGACAGCACCCGGCACGTGCTCAAAAGCTGATAGCAGCTGCAGATGAGAACTGCAACGGCCGCTGGCTTAAACTTTGCCGTGTCGAGCTGTATTGCAGGAGTCTGGAGCGGATTTCGTCTAATCAGATGCAACCGGAAAAGGGATCCATGATAGAATAATTACTCGGATGGATGTGCAGTAGCTTCAGGAATAGGAGCTGCAGCTTGTTCAAACAGTTGCCGTGAGGCAGCTTGTAACAGTAGCACCAAATGATGACTCTGAGCATGCTGATGGCAATGTGGCGGTGGCAGTGGCAGTGGCAGTAATGACAGTCACCGTCAGCATGGTACGATCCTTGCAACAGTCGCCCGTGGAAGCTGACGTCAGATGTCATTTCCTCCAAAGTCCCAAACCCTGCTAGACACCAAAACCCCGAACGCCCTCATTCTTGAAAGTTCCGAGGCGCAAGCAACCCTAAACCCTAAACCCCTAAGCCCCTAAACCCATTTGGGACATAGTCTCCAGAGCCGTCAACTTCAGGGCTCGCCATTCAGTTTGGATGTTCAGACATGGGTCTCAGAGGCCAAAGCTTCAATGAGGACTTTGGGATATTGTTGATGGACTTCAAGCTGAGGGTGGTTTAGGTTTAGTATTCTTGTTGTAGGGCGCAAGGGCTTAGGGTGTCCAAGTTTGTGAGGTCGGCGACGGCGTTCTCCATGCCTGTAGTACAGGCTTTGCGCACTGCAGTTATTCAATCAACGAGCAGCCACTGCATGTCAACAGCTTGCGCAAAGTAGTCATATCAGACTGGCAGGGTTTCTTCTCGTTCCGATGATAGGGGATGAAAGAGCAGCCTTTCTGCAACGCTTCAGCCCAGAACCCGAAGGCACAACGCTCTGCAGCCCGAATCCTCAGCATCAAACGAGAATGCTCGCGAGACACCCAGGCCCGCCCACGGCCTTAACCCAAAAAGGATCGAAGGGTCTTAAGACATCCTTAAGGGCTCCTCTAAGGGTTCTTTGAACAGCTCCTTTAAGGGCTCCTTTAAGGGTTCCTTGAACAGCTTCGTTAAGGGGCTCTTTTAAAGGTTCCTTGCACAGCTCCTTTAAGGGGCTCCTGTAAGGATTCCTTGAACAGCTCCTTTAAGGGGCTCCTGTAAGGACTTGAACAGCTCCTTTAAGGGGCTCCTGGAAGGGTTTCGGCTTGAAAGGGCCCGGATGGAACCCAGGCAAAGTGGAGATCGACGAGTGGAAGAACGTGGTGAACCGCTCTTCGTCTGAAAGCCCTCGGTTTGGGCAGCCGAGTCCCTTGTGAGAAAAGGGTTCTGCCTTGAGCGGGGGTGTGGGTCGCATAGGCGCTGGCCGGCACCTCAGTCCGTTCTGAAAAGGGTTGTCCGAGCGTGAGCACCGAAGCCTAAAGCCCTTAACCTGAATAGATCTAGCTGAGATCTGAATAAATCTAAACCCTATAGACCCTAAACCCCGAAACCCTAAACCCCTAAACCCTAGACCCCTAAACCCCTGAACCCCTAAACCCTAAACTCTAAAGCCTAAGCCGTCAACCCCCAAGGCCGCAAAAAATCCCAAGCCTTACGGCCCTTTCGAGGCTCCAACACTCCCAATCGACTGAGGTCATGGGGTTAGCATCATCTTGGGTCCTAGGCTAGGCGTCGGGGCTTATAGGGTTTAGGGTTTAGGTTTAGCTTATTGGGTTTTAGGGTTTGGGGTTTAGGTTTATGATGAAGGGTTTAGGGTGAAGGGTTTAGGGTTAACTATGGGGTTTCTCAGCAGCTGAATAGATAGCCTCAAATCATGGTTTTTGGCTACCCCGACGTCTCGAAGGTTTGGTGGCCGGCAAAGGTTCCGGTGCGCTCAAGGCAAGGGAAGGGCGAGAAAATTGGAAGTTGATGGTTGAGGGTTGACCTGAACACTACAAAACCCACCTTTTTGTTGGAGCTCCTTATTCTAATCTCCCTCTCTTAATTCCCGAAAAGGGTAGGTTACTTGAAGCTTAACGTACGGCTTACCCGTAAGCAAGGGTTCGCCACCATTATTATGTCGTTACATAACCTCTTAAGAATCAGGTCTTTTAGGGTACAGGTAGGGCGTATGTTGGCAGGGGTTCTGGGGGAAGGGCTATAGTAGAATCCAGCAAGTTGGAACATCATTAGCCTCATGCCATTAGAGTAAAGTAGAGGGAATCCCAGCACGAATCCTCCTAAATCCATGTTCCAGGTTTCTGGGGTTCACTATACATGGTTTAGAGTCTAGAGTTTTCGGGTTGCGAGGGCTTCGGCTGTTGATTTGTGGGTGTCGGGCTCAGGGGGTGTGAGATCACGATGCCAATAGTAAGAATTGGGTTTAGGGTTTAGGGGTTTAGCAGTTTAGGGTTTAGGGGTTTAGGGTTTAGGGTTTGGTTTTACGGCCTTGCACGGCGAACCACGCAAGTAGTATTCCATATGCAAAAGTCACCAATCCCCGCCTGTGCAGCTATGCCCACAAGCGAAACAACGAAGTTCAGGAAAGGTGGGCCGAAGGCTTTGCAGAGCATGGATGCAGGTTTATGACTGTGTCTAGCGGATCTTGAGGTTTAGGTGGTCATGAGTATAGCTGTGATGCATTTACTTCAGGATTTGTTACCCCCTCGACTTAGAACGGAGGTAGCTAGCTTGACCCGCACCGTGCCCAGGGTTCGCACGCCTACAACCCTGAACGAAGAACCTGCAGCCTGAAACTTGCCTCAGCCAAAAGCCGTAAATCCAGACCCTAACCGACCCCGCCCCTGCCCCTGCCCTTCCAGACCTGGATCTTTTGATAGTGTTTAAGGTGCCAACAAACCTGCCGGCAGGTCTTCGCAAGTGCGCTGATGGAGCACGAGTACGGCAAGCAACTCGTCGATGCAAATGGTTTGAAGCTGCTTAGGGCGGTCTAAAGCCAGGCGGTTGTTGACATTCAGGGGCTTTGGGGTGAGTGAGGTCACAACGGACACACAAGGGTACTTGGCGTTCTTCTTGGCTCGTAGGAGTTTAACTCTTTGGGTTTCTATATGAACTATAAGAAGGAGGCTACAAGTTTAACTTTTAGGAGGGGTTCAGAAGTCAGCCAAGGGTAACTAAGGCTTTGTAAGACCTTGTGCCTCCCCCTGAACTTACGGCAAAAAAGCCTTCCAAACACCCCCTCCACCCCTCCAAGCCCCGAACAACCCTCTTGCCGGGAAACCTTCTCCCAGCCCTATGGAAACTTTCGTTGCAGCGCCACCAAATGGCATGGAGACCGGATAATACAGGGGCCTCAATAATTACCTGTACTATTTTGTGGGGTTCTTTTTATAATTAAAGTATAATATACCCCGAAACGCTAGTCTTTTTATGAAGGCCCCTACATTAGTTGCAGCCCGAACGAGGCCCTACACACTGTTTGAAGCCTCAGGAAGGTATGGAGGCCGGATACCGCCCTCAATCCCAAACCCTGAACGGCCCTACAACCTGTTGAAACCCTAAGAAGGTATGGAGACCGGATACAGCTCTAAACCCATAAACCCTAAGCCTTCATTGCTAAACTCTAGCAATAATACTAACAATATTAATAAGAATAATAGCAAGAAGGTATGGAGAGCGGATACAACACTCCTCCACTTGGAATTGGGTGCCTCGGACCCAAAAAGATGCTAGCAGCTGGGCGAAGATCGGCTCGGGCCAAGAGACTCCCAAACCTTTTGAACTAAGGAATGTAGCTCGTTAGTTCATGATCAGAAAGCTCATTATGTAAGGCATCTAGTCTATTGAGTATTAAGAAATATAGCTCGTTAGTTCATAAGTAGAAAGCATTTTTGTTTATGGCATCTAGTGGCTAGCTCTAAATGCGAGAACAGAGTTTACTAGCTCAGATCAAGGATCGCTTTGGATTTTAACGGTATGCAGGCAAGGGCTTTTCGGGATCGCTGGGTTTTGGCACAGCTCCGGGTTTGAGATTCAGAAATGAAGTACCAATGCAACTCTTTTAGGCAGCAGGGGCCTGAATCCACCAATCTTTAGCCCAGCAGCAGCAGTCGCAAAAAGCTTTCAACAAAAGGCCGAACCCTAAACCTGAACCCTGAACCTAAACCCTAAACCCTAAACCCTAAACCCTAAACCCTAAACCCTAAAACCCTAAACCTGAACCCTCAGCCCTAGGCCCCCTAAACCTGAAGACCCCCAGTGTTGAGGATGAGGGGTCAGAGTTCTGGGACATCTTTGGGTTCAGGGCTTTGGGCGGAGGGCCAAAGCTTCAGAGGCGGTTGTGGGATTCTGGGGAGGGTTTAGGGCTCGAACGCTGTATTGTCGGGGCTTTCATCATTGCCGATACTGTTTTTGTTTTTGTGGGTGGGTGGGGGGGGGGGGGGGNNTTTTTTGGGGGGGGGGGGGGTCCGTAGTATAATTATAGTTTAATCGACCCCCAAAACCCTATCCTAATTATGACGGCTCCTATATTAGGGTGGAGGAGGTTCCGGCTGAACCGCTTGCCCTGCACAGCTCTGAAAAGAAGCTCGCCGAGCGAGAAAACTCATAGCCCATCAGATCATATATGTCTGCTGACCGAAAAATCTGAAGCAGAGTGGTACTGTTGATGGACAAGATTCTCCATGACCCAAATCTAGTACAGTACCATAAATCCCATAGTTTAGGTATATAAGGTCATGCAGCATTTTGTCCATCAGCCGTATGATCCTGAACGTAAGAAGGAGCCTGATTCTAGCCTGATTGTTCGATGCAACCAAAACCCTAAAGCCTCGATCCCAGCTCTCCCTTCTCAATACTCGGCATAGTTCAGCCCAAACTCAAAATGCCCGACGCTGCCTGGTGAAAGGAGTCAACCAATGAATGCAGGAGGGAAAACCCAAAACCCTGAAGTATATGCTCTGACAGGACGAAACACGCTGCAAGCCTTGGCGTTGGTTCTTGTCTTGCCACTCTAGCACTCGGCCGCTTGGCATGAATGCTTTTTGTTTTAGGGGGTTGCGGAGGTCAGAGGCGTAGGGTGTAGGGTCGTAGGGTTTCAAGTTCAGCTTCTTCAAGGCGATCACTGGGCAGAATGCAACATGTGTAGTTGCGACGACTGGCCTTCCGTGATCAACACAGGCTAGCTTGGGACGTGCTCTTGCTGGTGCTCCTCTGCTACATTGCAGCCGCCAAACAGCACAAGAGGCTCAGGCTCAGGCGTGAGGTCTAAAAGGCACGGCTTCAGTGAAGTGTTCGCATGCTTCATGTTTGCTATCCGGGCTTGAGGAAAGTCGGACGTTCAGTTGGAAGGTTCTTGCAAGTTTTTACTGAAAGACTCTCCTTTCCCCTGCTGAGATCCCGAGGGTAACCCTAGCCCTAGTTCAGCCACCCTTGAGATTCGCCAAGTCCTGAACCGTCATTCTTGCCCTTGTTGCTTCCAATGCATACCCCTTACGTGTGGAGGGCAAAAACCACACAAAAGATGGAGAAGTCTTCGACCCCCCACTTGCCTGAACCCAAAGTCCCTTAGACCACAAAGCCTACAGACGGAAAGAACGCGTGGCACCAGCATGAACATGACACACACCACAAATCGAGACGCATGCGGTGCCCACTTCCCTGAGCAAGTTCTACTAGGAAGCGATTTGGCGTAGTCTTCAACGTCTCTTATGGTCTAAGAGACGTAGCTATTGGGAAGTAATGAGGGGCGAAGCCCTGAACCCAAGAAAACCCTGCAGCTGTAAAGAACAAACCAGTTTGTCAAACAAGAGGGGGAGAGAGAGAGAGAGAGAGATATATATATATATATGTATACATATACATATACATATACATATACATATACATATATGTATATATGAGATCAAGCCCTCAGGATGACGCTTTCGAAGATCTGGGGTCTCAAGTCTCTGGACATAATGGGGGTGGGTGTTCAGAACTTGATTAATGTAGGGGCCTTAATAATTACCTATACTATTTTGGGGGTTTCTTAGTGTAATTATAGTATAGCGGGCCCCAAAACCCTATTCTAATTATTAAGGCCCCTACATTCTTGCATGCCAGTGACTTACGGGTCAGGCCTCGGGGGCCTACCCAAACTTTCGGAGAACCCGAAGTACATTGCAGCCATGACGTACCTACTAATGCCCCCCACGCTGACCCCAAGAGCTTGTCGACCCTCCAAACGCAGTCTCAAGCCCCTTCCATGTTCCTGGGCTTACTGAGGTGGTGTTGCCCTTCACCCTTGCATACCTGACGGAGAGCGGCGTCCACGGTTACATCAATGTCCACCGGCTGCTGCATATGGCTTTGGGGTTAGATGTTATGGTTGAGGGTGCTGAACTAGCCAGCGAGTGGCCCCAAATAAGTTTCAGAAGATAGGCAGACCCTACATCGCAGGGTCCTGGTTGCCTGCTGTTCATCTATTAATGTAAAATTCATACCTGTGAATGCTTCTGGACCCCTCGCAGTGCAAAGAAGGTCCGCCTTGAGACAGAAAGTCTTTTTGTAATGGCAGCTCCTCAGTAGCCCTACCTTCTGTAATCCTGATGGCACCTCGTTGAGTATATACGGACGTCTATGGTCGGATCCCCATATTGTCTGAAACCCCCCGCTCCCCGGGCCCTTCGGCTCAAACCCATGAAGTCTGATGCCCCTCCACAGACTTCAAATCCCCAATTCTAGAGCCTCTCCCAGCTCATCCAGAACCCCAATGCCAGCCGCCAGCCGTCATTCCATATCGGCGACGCTCAAACTTTCACCCGGTGCCTGAAAATTCAACTGCTCCGGTTTTCGGTTGTCTTTCTGCAGAAGCCCTAATGCCCAAGCCCCAAGGATAGAACTGCAACTATGTGCAGGCTCCGATGTAAAGGGAACCTACCAACCCGCCCCTTCGAGCAGCGCCGATCACCTGTGGTGGTTCCATTTTAATACCCTTATAAGGCTCCAGTTACCTACGTAATGGTTACTGGGTACATCACATATGTTTAGAAGCCCACTTTTTCGGGAGTTGGAGTCCCATAAAAATCCTAAACCCTAACCCTAAACCTTAAACCCTAAACCCTAAACCTTAAGCCCTAAACCCTAAACCCTAAACCTTAAACCCTAAACCCTAAACCCATAAAATAAGCAGCACCGACAGAGGGAGCAAGCCGCACCACGCGCGCGCCGGGGTGTTCAGTCTTCGGCCGAATCCGGCCCCCGGCTCATAATCTTAAGCCGCTTCAAGTTAGGGCTTATGTTTAGGGTTTAGGGTTTAGGGGCTTATATAGGGGTTAGGGTTTAGGGATATAGGAGTTGTAATCAAGCTTCTTGTAGAAATTGTGTTGGAGCTACCGCAATCTAACTCTTGCCCAGAACCCAGAACCCGGTTTAGGATCAGCCCTGGCCCTTGTGCGGCGAGGTCGGCATAGACGTTTGCTTCCTCTTCGACATCTTCCTGAACTTTCGGACCACGTACATCAACGAGGACGTGGCCGTCCACCCGACAACCTGGAACCCCGAAACCATACACCCAACTTCAAGTAAAGAAACCGTATCAAGATGGTATCGCACAACCTCTCCGAAGGCACGTCCGGCAGTCTCAAGCCCCTTATTAGCCCTGAAAAACTTCGCCGAAACTCCAAAAAAAATCGGAAAGCGTCAGCCCGTGCTCCAACGACCCGACCTCACTTCATCGGTGCTTGCTATTCGGCCTCAGTCAAGATGATGATTGCAGGTCGTGGTCTCGCTAGACTTGAGTCCAGCAGGAGGTGTAGGGTTTAGCGTCGGCCTGCGGGGGAACTTGGCCGGGCGAGCTCCAATGAAGCCTGTGCAAAAGGGCCAACCTGTTACACTTTGCCAGCTGTTGCAACAGAGACTTGCTACAGCAGGCTGGTGAGGAGGTGCGCAGCAATCGCCTCATTGCCAAGAACTACCTCACCTCGTGGCTGCTGATCTTACAAGTGGGAAGTTTGCTGCAATGACTGATTTGTCAACCGGCAAACATCCTAGTACAGCCAAGAGACGGTGTGTCTCTGATAGGAAGACATTTGGGTAGGTGATTTAAACGGCTTCGGTGCTGCCCTCTTGGTTGCTTCTGGACAAGTTCTACCCCAGCGTGGCATTTGTGTTGGGCTGGGGTGTGAAGTCGATACTTGCAGACGGGGCCTGGGAGTTGTTATCAGATGAACCATCGAAGTTCTTGCCACGGTGAGCATCTGTCTCACAGTCCGGTGTCCTGTGTCTTCTTTAACCCGCGGTGCTGCGCTGGGTGAATTAGCAGATGTTTGCTTCAGCGTGGAAGTACTTCCAGTTTAGATTTCCATACTAGACCGATATATCAGCATTCCTGTCGCCACGCTCCTGTGTCTGTTGCACTGCCATTTGTCTCAGCCTCGACTTGTCAAACTGTTTTCATGCTTACAAGTATGCGTGCTAGGAAATTGCTGTCTCGCACATTCGGTCAGCCTTTCCCCATTGTGGTTCGAAGCGCGGAGACTTTCGCAAGGTGCGAGGCTTAAATAACAGAAGTTCTAAAAGCCAGTAAATGCTAGGTTAAGGGTTGAGTGAGTGTTTGGGTTCATACAAACTCAACTGCATCCCTGAACCCTAAACCCTAAACCCTAAACCCTAAACCCTAGATCTAGAGCGCTTCAGGTTTTCCCTGGACCTCGTCACGGCTGCACCTCGCCGTCGAAACGCCCTCCGCGGGGGTTTAGGGTTTAGGGTTTAGGGGTTTAGGGGTTCAGGGGTTTAGGGTTTCGGGTTTAGGGTTTAGGGGTTAGGGTTTAGGGTTTTGGGGTTTTGGGGTTTAGGGCTTAAG